AGTGACGGGGACTAGAGGGGGGATCCCTGGCGATGGGGACACTGGAGGGGGGGGACCCCCAGTGACGGGGACTCTGGAGAAGTGACTACAGCAGACCAGGAATAATAAAGCCAGCACCAACCAAAACATGCCCCCCTCCCCCCTACCGCTGTCCCTCGCTAGCGCCACAAGCACTCCCACCCTGCCACGTTTCCCCCGCCGTGCCCCGCGGTCAGACAATGGCGGCCATCGCACAGGCTGATCTCCCTCCTCCCCATTTCTTTTCGCTGAGCCGGTGGGGCCCAGACCCCAACTCCCGGCTCAGCGCCCAGCCTCGTCCCGGCTGGCTCTGGGGAGGGCAGGCTCTCTGCCCGAGGAACGGTGACAAGGAACTCAGCAGAAGCCGTGCGATGCACATGTTATGGGGGGGAGCCCTGCTGAGCGGGTCACGTCATAGCGGGCAGGGCCAAGGGATGATTAATGACCCCAGCTGAGGATGGACCAGGCCGACCTAGCGCATCTTCTCCATCTCGGTCCCACCAGGCTCCCTGCGCTGGGGAGCATGGACTTCCGCCCCAGCAGCCAGGATCCCCCCCGCTTCCGCTGATGGGGCCTTATTGGACCTTCAGAACAATAGTGTGTATGTGTGTGTGTGCGTGTATGTGTGTGCGTGCGCGCGCGTGTGTGTTGGGGGGAACCAGGCTGGTCCATTATGGACTGGGACATCCCACTCCGGAAGGGGTGTTCTCAACCTCACAATAAAGGGCTATGAACAAAAGGAAAACACGGAGCAATCTAACCCCCTATGAGGCCTTTCGAATAAATCAGCCCTTGCCCTTGCGTCTCAACGGTGCCAGAGGCAGAGCCCCCTGCTCCTCAAGGAGATAAGCCTGTGGCCATGTCTACTGCTCACAAGCTGTAGCTAACAATGGCTGAATCACCGCCTTTCATTCTGAAAATGCCCAACACTCGTCTTAAACTACCATAGTCAAGCAGGGCTCACTCAATGCTAAAGTGCAGCCGCCTCTGGAGTGTAACACGGCAGCTGTTTAACAGCGCACAGCAACGCTATGCACAGGTGTAGTCAGGACGTGGAGAATTTCAGATCCAAGTGAAAGTGCAATGGGGAATCACCTATGCCGAAACTCAGCAGCATACTGGGCTTATCCCCATGGGCTTCCAAAATGCACCCTGGGGTCCTTAACAAGCGACCTCCAGCAGGACAGGCCTCCCTGGCCTCCCACTGATCAACACTGACCTCCAGCCACCACCACGCCCTGCACCATTCTGGGGTTGTCTTACGGGTCCCCCAGAGGCAGACGGAGCAAGCTGGGCTCTGGTTAGCTGTGACAAGGGCACAGTCTGCTTAGTTCGAGGGCGGCTGAGCTAAATGCGGGCGGGGCTGACTCCCGGCGGTGCCACAGCTTGGCAGCGCAAAGCAGCCTCTGATGCCGAGGGAAGGCGATTCCATGGCATTCTGCTGCCTGGGTTCCTGTGACTCATGGCCCCTCAAAATATCCCCGCCATCAGCTTGCTGGTGAGCCAGTTCCCAGCACAGCAGCGGTGGCAGCGGAGCTGTAGGAGTGACTCAGGAGTGGCGGAGAGCAGCCGGCTGGAAGGCCAAAACACACGCCTCCGAGAGGGATTTGTGCATCTGTGTGTCTGTGCAGATCTCCCCGGGGAGTGGCTGTGAGCCCCTGCGGCAGGCTCCCCAGGAGTGAAAATCTCCCATTATCTGGGACACTGAAGCTAGACTAGGAAATTCCCCTGCAAAAAGCTGCATGAAAGTTAAGTGGATGGGCCAGCAGCCTTCTCAGGAAACCTCAGCAGCCTGTTTCCATTGAAGGGGAAACCTGCCCAAAGCCTGCAGAACGCCTGGAAATCGAAAGGAAAAGCTCCGGTCAAATGGGGCAGCAGGCCCGGTCCCTCTGGCCTCGGTTCTCAGTCGCTGCACTTGGGATCAGGAGGGAGGGGGAATGAAGGGGACTTTAAGCCATCTTTGCACTTCGGGGGGCAGTTCAGGGGCTTCTCCAGCCCCTGGGGTTCATTAGAGCAGCGCGGCAGCGTTTCCTGACACTGCTTCCCACGGCTGGAGGAAAGAGCTCCCCGGCTCTCCCCCCAATCCACCCCTTGCCCCAGGGCTGCGAGCACAGCTTACTCCAGGGGCATCTCTGGGGACTCTTTATACCTACCTTACGGGCCCTTTATGCAACACATGGAAAACCTCAGAGGCCCCCAGGAATCCCCCTGCAAATGCCCCCCCTCATCCCCTTTCCTTCCCCACCCCCGCCCTCCCGCCCAGGGACGACCCAACCCGATGTTCTGTCCCCGCCCCTCCATCCGCCCTGAGGCGCCCCCCCGCGGCAGCCTCCCCCACCCGGGGAGCCGTGCGGCAGCTCCCCACCCCAGCTCACCTCTGCTCCGCCTCCTCCCCAGCACGCCGCCCCCGCTCTAATTCTCCTCCCCTCCCAGGCTTGCGGCGCCAAATAGCTGATTGGTGCTGCAAGCCTGGGAGGCGGGAGAAATGGAGCGGCGACCATGCGCTCAGGGAGGGGGCATAGGAACGATGTAAAAAAAAATTGGGGGCACCGCTTTTTGGCGCCCTAGGCAACCGCCTAGTTTGCCTAAATGGTAGCACCGGCCCTGGGGGCACCATGGTTTTGCTGCTGAAGTGGGAGGCCCGACTTCCTGCCTCCATGTACCATGGTGCGCCGTGCTATGCCCCGTGGAGGGGCCCTGGCTGCGCACGCTGGGCCAGGGCAGAGGGGTGAGATGGGGACACGCTGCTCCAGCCAGACCCTTATTCCCAGGTGTCGTTCGGGGCATTTAAACGCTGGGGGAGTTCCCCCCCCCCCCCCCGCCAGAGTGATCTGGAAACGTCCTGGGCAGGGGAGGGTGGAGCTGAACTCCTCATTCTGCGATTGAGCTCTGGAGCTAGCGAGCTCAAGCGCGCTCTGGATGAAGCGCCGCCCCACTAAGCGTGCGGTGCCCAGGCTCACGCGGTGCCAGGCGCTCCGGAGCAGACCGCCTCCAGCTGAGCTTCCGCCGCGCCAGGCCTACCCCGGAGCCCAGGGGAGGGTGCCCATGTGTCCCTCCCTCCCTGCCCATCATGTCCCGGCTCCCGCCCCCCGGGACTCACCGTCTGGTCGGTGAGCGGCGGGAGGACGATGGTCTTCTCCATGGTGTTCATAACCAGCTTCCAGAGCTCCTTCAGCACCCGCTTCAGCACCGTCTTCTCGCAGATCTTGGCGAAGAGAGTCAGGCTGGGAACAGAGCCGGGGAGGGAGAGGATGGACTTGGGCTCTGGGCATGTCACCCACCCCCCATCTACAGAGCCCCTACACACACACACACACACAGCCCCTACAAACACACACACACACAGCCCCTACAAACACACTAAACATTAAAAAGGTTGTAGAGCAGTTTTTAAACTAAGAGATGGGGGAAAGCCGACTGCTGCAGAGGAGCATGTGGATCGGACAGAGACTTCTCTTAGGGGAGAGTCTAATGATAGAGAATCTCCAGGTTCTAGTCAGGAGCAGAGGATGGAGGAGGATAATAAACATTCACATAAAAAAGAATCTGACACATCAGAAAAGGGCAGACAAATAAACAGTAATAAGTTTTTAAAGTGCTTGTACACAAATGCTAGAAGTCTAAATAATAAGATGGGTGAACTAGAGTGCCTCGTGTTAAAGGAGGAAATTGATATAATAGGCATCACTGAAACCTGGTGGACTGAGAGCAATCAATGGGACACAATCATTCCGGGGTACAAAATATATTGGAAGGACAGAACAGGTCGTGCGGGGCGGGGGGGTGGGGGAGTGGCACTGTATGTGAAAATATGTAGAATCAAATGAAGTAAAAATCTTAAGTGAATCCACATGTTCCATAGAATCTCTATGGATAGAAATTTCATGCTCTAATAAGAATATAACATTAGGGATCTATTATCAACCACCTGACCAGGACAGTGATAGTGATGATGAAATGCTAAGGGAAATTAGAGAGGCTATCAAAATTAAGAACTGAATAATAGTGGGGGATTTCAATTATCCCCATATTGACTGGGAGCATTTCACTTCAAGACGAAATGCAGAGATAAAATTTCTCGATACTTTAAATGACTGCTTCATGGAAAAGCTGGTACGGGAACCCACAAGGGGAGAGGCAACTCTTGATTTAGTCCTGAGTGGAGCGCAGGAGCTGGTCCAAGAGGTAACTATAACAGGACCGCTTGGAAATAGTGACCATAATACAATAGCATTCAACATCCCTGTGGTGGGAAGAACATCTCAACAGCCCAACACTGTGGCATTTAATTTCAAAAGGGGGAACTATGCAAAAATGAGGGGGTTAGTTAAACAGAAGTTAAAAAGTACGGTGACTAAAGTGAAATCCCTGCAAGCTGCATGGGCGCTTTTTAAAGACATCATAATAGAGGCCCAACTTCAATGTATACCCCAAATTAAGAAACACAGTAAAAGAACTAAAAAAGAGCCACCGTGGCTTAACAACCATGTAAAAGAAGCAGTGAGAGATAAAAAGACTTCCTTTAAAAAGTGGAAGTCAAATCCTAGTGAGGCAAATAGAAAGGAGCATAAACACTGCCAAATTAAGTGCAAGAATGTAATAAGAAAAGCCAAAGAGGAGTTTGAAGAACAGCTAGCCAAAAACTCCAAAGGTAATAACAAAATGTTTTTTAAGTACATCAGAAGCAGGAAGCCTGCTAAACAACCAGTGGGGCCCCTTGATGATCAAGATACAAAAGGAGCGCTTAAAGACGATAAAGTCATTGCGGAGAAACTAAATGGATTCTTTGCTTCAGTCTTCACGGCTGAGGATGTTAGGGAGATTCCCAAACCTGAGCCGGCTTTTGTAGGTGACAAATCTGAGGAACTGTCACAGATTGAAGTGTCACTAGAGGAGGTTTTGGAATTAATTGATAAACTTAACAGTAGCAAGTCACCGGGACCCAGATGGCATTCACCCAAGAGTTCTGAAAGAACTCAAATGTGAAGTTGCGGAACTATTAACTAAGGTTTGTAACCTGCCCTTTAAATTGGCTTCTGTACCCAATGACTGGAAGTTAGCTAATGTAACGCCAATATTTAAAAAGGGCTCTAGAGGTGATCCCGGCAATTACAGACTGGTAAGTCTAACGTCGGTACCGGGCAAATAAGTCGAAACAATAGTTAAGAATAAAATTGTCAGACACATAGAAGAACATAAACTGTTGAGCAATAGTCAACATGGTTTCTGTAAAGGGAAATCATGTCTTACTAATCTATTAGAGTTCTTTGAAGGGGTCAACAAACATGTGGACAAGGGGGATCCAGTGGACATAGTGTACTTAGATTTCCAGAAAGCCTTTGACAAGGTCCCTCACTAAAGCTCTTACGTAAGTTAAGCTGTCATGGGATAAAAGGGAAGGTCCTTTCATGGATTGAGAACTGGTTAAAAGACCGGGAACAAAGGGTAGGAATTAATGGTAAATTCTCAGAATGGAGAGGGATAACTAGTGGTGTTCCCCAAGGGTCAGTCCTTGGACCAATCCTATTCAACTTATTCATAAATGATCTGGAGAAAGGGGTAAACAGTGAGGTGGCAAAGTTTGCAGATGATACTAAACTGCTCAAGATAGTTAAGACCAAAGCAGACTGTGACGAACTTCAAAAAGATCTCACAAAACTAAGTGATTGGGCAACAAAATGGCAAATGAAATTTAATGTGGATAAATGTTAAGTAATGCACATTGGAAAAAATAACCCCAACTATACATATAATATGATGGGAGCTAATTTAGCTACAACAAGTCAGGAAAAAGATCTTGGAGTCCTTGTGGATAGTTCTCTGAAGATGGCCACGCAGTGTGCAGAGGCGGTCAAAAAGCAAACAGGATGTTAGGAATCATTAAAAAGGGGATAGAGAATAAGACTGAGAATATATTATTGCCCTTATATAAATCGATGGTACGCCCACATGTCGAATACTGCGTACAGATGTGGTCTCCTCATCTCAAAAAAGATATACTGGCACTAGAAAAGATTCAGAAAAGGGCAACTAAAATGATTAGGGGTTTGGAATGGGTCCCATATGAGGAGAGATTAAAGAGACTAGGACTCTTCAGCTTGGAAAAGAGGAGACTGGGGGGGATATGATAGAGGTATATAAAATCATGAGTGATGTGGAGAAAGTGAATAAGGAAAAGTTATTTACTTATTCCCATAATACAAGAACTAGGGGTCCCCAAATGAAATTAATAGGCAGCAGGTTTAAAACAAATACAAGGAAGTTCTTCTTCACGCAGCGCACAGTCAACTTGTGGAACTCCTTACCTGAGGAGGTTGTGAAGGCTAGGACTATAACAGCGTTTAAAAGAGAACTGGATAAATTCATGGTGGTTAAGTCCATTAATGGCTATTA